AAAAAGAAAATAAAATAAGAGTTAAATTTTTTTGTGTACTCTAAGAGAAAAATAGAAAAATACTAAATGTTATGTAATACATCCCCGACAAAATTTGACGTGACTCAATTGTTGTATAGTAAATCATGCAAATTTAAAATTTATAAAACTAGAAAATACGATTTTTCAGATATTTAGAAGTATTTCTGAACAAATATATCAAGTATACTTCAATAAAACTTTCAAAAATAGTATTAATTTTTCAGGTCGATCATAGAGATATAATATAATATCTAGTAATTAGTCAAAATTTTTCTCAAAGAATACTACTTTCTATGAATTTTGTACTAAGAAATGAAAAGAAAATATATTTAAAATTCATGAAAAAAAGAAAATAAGGGTGCATATGTCAAGATGATGTCAGTGCCTGGCAAATACAAATCAAGTAGAAATAGAGTTCCACCTAGTGATTCTTACGTAAGTGATTACAGACGATTTAATTGATCAAATTAAGATCTGTAAAAACAGAAAGAATCGTAATGAAATGAAGTATATCTTGGTAAATTTAAAAATAATAAATTATCATTAAAAGAAGTGAAAATTAATTTGAAAGTAGGAAAATAGAGTTCCGGCATCGTGGCGGTGATGCGTTGGCGATGCACTAGAATCCTAAGCATTCGAGATGATCGTCATGTAGTGTCCACGGCCTTGAAGGCTCTCCTTGAACAAAGATAATGTGGGTAATCTCTAGATTTCCTTGCAAAGTCTAGAGATCAATGAAATGGGTTGTCGAATAGTCTTCAGTGGCTGTCACCCGGCAGAGCGGAAAAACAATAACTTTGTGGCTCTTCGGCGGCTGTCACTTGACAGAGAGGAGTTGGATGGAGGTGGGGCGCGTGTTAGAGAGCTTCATCCTCAAGTCCGCTCAACAAGAGGATGCTCTTCATTGTATTTGATATGCTCTCAGGAGGTGGTGACTCATCTCCCAGCAAATCGTCCTCTTCCTGATGATGGCTTGTTCATTGATCAATCAGAAATGCTTTACTACATGGATTTACGATCTTTTTATCGCGAATCATTCAAAAATTTTAGTAACAATGATCTACAATACACGTTGACGAGATTTTTGCCGATGATCTAGCGATTCTGGTTGCTTAATCCTTCACCAACGATCTGCAAGAAAGTCACGATAATCAAATAAAAAAATATGAGTTTTGGCTTTGGGAGGATTTGAAACTGCACCAGTTGCCCACCCTTTCTAGGAAAGGTGACGCGAGTTTAGTCCCACATCGGTTGTGCATGGAAGTATTTAGCAAATATAAAGTAATATTAGATTTCCGATCAAGCCCCTTTCTCGCACGTGTATGACCACACCTTGCCCCACAACCAATTGGCCACTAGTGACGTGGAAGAGGAGTGGCGCACACATGCCCACATCGATTCAAGCCGCTCGAGCCCCTGCTCGCGGCTCCTGCCCAACTGCACTTCTGACCCGCTTGCGGGCTTGGCTGGCTGGTGGATCCCCCTCGTTTTGTTATATTTTTCTTTTAATTTCTTTTCCTTCATTTATCTTAAAAGTAAGATTGTAAAAATCATAGAAAATCACATAATTACCCAAAAATTCATGTTAATCAATTGAAAACCACTTTTCACATTTTAACACAAATATAAGTCTATTTATCATGAGCTAAGGCTAAAACTATATTATTTATTAATTATTAACTCATGGTAATAAAAACTTATCAATTATGGTATGAGAATGAAATCATGACAAGTGTAGCCCTTTTTAATAGATGGTTGAGTCTACAATTTTTCTTTGACTTAGGATTTGTCAAACACAAATCAATATGTTGTATGAAAGATCAATGAATCTATCATCAATAAATACTAATCTTAGATTATTTCTTAGACATTTCTATTTAGAACCCACGAGACTATGGTTTGTAAACAACATCAAAAGGTAATTTATATGACTGAAATGTACGCAATTCATATTACATGTATCATTCTTGAGAGAGATGAACTATTGGCACCTTGCTTGTTGTGCCCATTATGTTTTGTAATTTCCTAGTGATAAAAATTCTATGAATACAAGATTAACTCATTGTTGACATCACCAAAAAATGTTTCAGCAAAAGTGCTATTGTTACCTGCCTAATAAGAAACTTCAAGATACCAATCTTCTCTAGTTCGACCAAGGCCATGTGAGTAAGACTTGACATTGCATGATAAAATCATAATCAGGTTGGTTTCCTGTTCTGTGTAGCAAAAAGGTAAGGATTTAGCCAAAGCTTGATTTCAATCTTTTCATCGTAGGTAGAAAAAAGAAAGCATAATCTATTGATACTATAAAAAGTAAAAAAGTATATACGTTGATAAGTTCTTCAATGGTGATCTCTTCCCAATTGGAACATGGAGAGTACACACTCTCCATGTTGACAATTAGTCATGCCTCTTGACCATCCATGAAAAATAATGTTCAATTGTGTGGTTAATAGAAGGTTGCCCTCTCAACTTTTGTCCCCTCCAATCTGGTGCTATAATCATAAGTAGTTTATAAGTGATACTAGAGGCACAAGAAAACTTAAGTTGAAACCAATAATGAAGTTTATATTTTCATCTACTTTAGTATGTTATGTAAAAGAGTATGATATGAATGAAATTAGGGCACAATTATAGCCTGTTTTAACTGATGATCATGTCTGCAAGCATAAAAAAATTTCAAAAATGTACAATATAATTGGATTTGATAATATTCAATGACCATATTAGAGTATTTTTATCATTAAATTTAATCACAATTTTTCTTTAACCTTAGATGTATCAGGCATAAGTAAACCCTTTGCATGAAAAATTAGTGAATCAATCTATCATGAATAAACTCAAATATTATAGATTTCCACAGACATTTGGGGATAGAATGCATGCGAATGAGAGTATATTTAGTAAGCTACAGAGAAATAACAATTTATGTAACTCAAGTGTACAAGGCTATGGTATGGGAATGAAATTAGGATAAGTATAGCCCTTTTAACTGATGATTATGTTTGCAAGCACCATTTTTTTTCTAAAATGTAGAATATAATTGGATTTGATATAACCAACGACCATAGGAGAGTATTTTTCATCATTAAAATTCAATCATAATGTTTCCTTGACTTAAATCTATCAAGCACATTTCAGCTGGTTGCATGAAAAATCAGTTAATCAAGCTATCATCCATAAGTGTACTAATATTATACATTTCCTCAGCTCAGACATTTGATGATGGAACACACATGAGAAAATGTTTTGCAAGCTACAGTAGAAGACAATTTATGTGATTGAAGTGGATGCAATTCACATTCTTCACCAATCGAATTCCTTGGCTGTTTCATTTCAACCGCAAAAATAAATATGCCGTGCTTCTTCCAAAAATCGTAATATTACCAAAGTAGACGACAAAAGGGGATAAACTTGGACTGGACGTCTTCATGCTCCCAGTCTAATTGTTCCAACCATTCTTTTTCACCAAAGATGCATTGGATGTTCTTGGCAGTAGAGAGACCAAAGGGCAGCTTCTTCAGCTCTGGACAGTTGATTACTTTTATATCCTCCAAGGCAGGAAACAACAACGGATGCCTACATATACTCAAATTCGGAAGATCTTCCAAAAAAATCCGCTTTAATCCAGGAAAGAAAGAATCATTTTGATAATCCACGTTGTCCACCGTCACCTCTTCGACTACTATCACCTCTTCTATTCTCGAACATCCATGTAGTATTAACTCCTCAATGCAGGACAGTTGTCTGATCCATGTTATGTCCTCCAATGCTTCACATCTGATAATCCACAATCCCCGAAGGTTTTTGAAGATGGCAGCTGTGGTGAGCCCCCTCACAAACACGTTGCCATCTTTCCAAGAGATCGTTGCTCGGGGAAGTTCACCCAATGTCAGTTCCTCCAGCTCCGAGAAATGGCTCGTGTTGAAGACCAGCTCTTCCAAGCAAATAGAATTCCAAATCTCAAGCCCTCTCAGGCCCTTCATAATCTCAAGAAAAGCAGACAAATCTAAAGATCGGATTCCCACCTCTAGCACACATAGAAATCTGATCGACGCAGACAGTCTCTGAGAGTTCAGTACAGCCTCCAGGTCTTCATGCGTCATCCATGTTATAGAAATACCGAGCTCCGTCAGGTTCCACATGCCGTCCTCCAAGTCTTTCAGACACAGTTGTCTCCCCTCACGGTCAATCACACCATCGCTACCACCGCCCTCCCCTCCTGCTCTAAACTCATAGTTACTCCCATAAATGTTCAACGACTGCAGCCTTTCAAGCGATGAGACCGCCTCGCGTGGGATACTCTTAAGAGACAGGGTGTTCTCCAAATGCAGTTGTCTCAGCTTCGTCAAATTACTGACCTCCATGGGTAATGATTCCAGGGGAATCCATGATAGATTGAGATACCGCAGTTCTAGCAGTGACTTGATTTCCGGGGGGAGAACCCTTATTCCTGTCCACGACAGATCTAAAACACGAAGGCTCGGCATGAACTGGAAAAACCCACCGGGGATTTCCTCCAGATGATGCTCGTTGTCGTTCAGCAACAGCGTCTGCAGATTGGGGCAACGAGGCTCCTCAGGGAGCAGGCGTATCTCATTACGCATGAGAGATATCCTTCTCGCCTCCGTCCATCTTTCCGGCGTCGGCACGTACCTCAACTTCTCCCCGGAGTTCACCAAGAAGACATTCCCTCTCTTGTCGCCTTCGCCGCTGGTTATCCACAACGCCATCTCCCGGACCGTGTCATGGAGCTTCACGTGTCTTCCTTTGTCCTTCCCGTCTTCTAGCAGGCAGGCAGCCTTGAGATTCTTGATGACAACGAGGCCGCGGTCACGAGCTCTCTCAATGGGGTCGGGATGGCGTCCCCTATCTAAGAGCCCTTCGCCCACCCAGTAATCAATGAGCTCGCTTATAAGGATGTTGTGATCCTCTGAGAAGAGGGCTAAGTACAGAAGGCACTCCTTGGCGGATGTATCTTACAATCTGTCGAAACTGAACTCGAGAAGAATTAGAACCTCTGTCATGTCTCCGAGCTCCACGGGTATGCCCTTCAGCGCCATGAGAGCCTCTTTCCACTCGCCATGGGTGGTGCCATCCGCCATGGCCCGGCCTACGGTGATGAGGGTGATCGGAAGGCCTCCGCATTTTTGACAAACGGCTTCTGCGAGAGACCTTATAGAGAGATCATTCCACTGGTCTTCTCCTTTTCCTATCTTTTCGCAGAAGAGCGTCCAAGAGCTCTCTGAATTCAACAAGGGCACCTTAACTTTCCCATGAGCGTCCATATCGTTGCACACTTTCTCTGATCGTGTGGTGAAGAATACCTTACTTCCGTTCCTGAAAGAGGAAGAGAAGGGGACTCCTACAGCTTCGAGATCTAGTTTCTCCCACAGGTCGTCCAGCAGCAGAAGGAAATTCCTCCTGGAGAGGGCGCTCAGTAGGGTGTTGACCCTGTCGGTTGGATGCGCTAGGAGGGTCTGGCCCTGGCCTTTTCCGGGGCGAGAGTAGCCCAACCGGACGGCGATGTCCTCTTGAACCTTCAGGATATCAAGTTCATTGGAGACGGTTACCCAAATCACTAGATCGAATCGACTGGCGGGCTCGTTGTTGATCGCCTTCAAGAGGGTCGTCTTCCCTATTCCTCCCAAGCCGTAGATCCCGATGACTGGCGCTTCATTGTCTTCCAGGAGGCTGCGGATCTCCGACAACGTCTTCTCCGCGTCCACGATGGAGGCTGAAGAGATCGGCTGCGGAACCACCGCGGGCGGCGGCGCCGGGATGAGTTGGGGGAGGAGATTGTTCTTTTGGGTCTTCAGCCTCTGGACTTCTTTCAGGCACTCGGCAGCTTCACAACCGAGCTTATAGGAGGACCGCCAAGAAGAGCCCTCAGAGGAGGCCCCCCTCTGCTGGAAGGAAACCCGGAAATCGGCCGCCCTGGACTCGATCTCCTGCACCGCCCTGAGCCAAGCCTGGGCCTGGTGGGTCGGCCCCTTGTCCTCAAGCTCCCCTTGTTTGATATGCTCTTCTAGATCTTCTCTTAGAACGATCAGATCTGTCATCTCCCTGTCCAGCTCCTCCGCTCTGGAGTCCAGCAGAATGAGAGTGACGATTCCACCGGCGGCCAGATTCCACACCCAGGAGACGGCTTCCCCCGTGCTGCTCTGCAGGAAATTTTGCATACCCTGCGATAACGGATCCCAGAAGAACCCAGACAAACAAGGAAGGGATTCATGCCGCCAATCCCTACCCAGTGAGGAAGGAAGGGATCGCGTAGAGGCGCACTGCTCATCGAACAGCTGGAAAGATAAGATGGATGAGGAATCGTGGAGCTCAGAAGATGTAATTTTGTTTCTTGGGGTCACCGCATGGGATCCTCATCTGAATATCTTCCACCGTCTTCTGCCGATTCTCCCTCATTGACTTTAACTGTTCAGCCCCTGTGAGATCATTTTCTTCCGATCAAGTGTTGACTTCTGGTTTATTTGAACCATCAATCTCAGCCGTTCATTCAGGTGAAATGGGGCGATGGGGATCGATAGACCTTCGATGACGATGGGGATCGGGAGGAGAGAGGGGCTCCGGGCGGACCCCCTCACTCTCTCTCTCTCTATCTGTCTCGCTACAAGAGAAAGGCGTGGAGAGAGAGAAAGAGAGAGGAGGTGGTCTTCAACCTTCCTTCGTACTTCCAGAGGATTAGGTTTCAGGGAAGTTCAAAAGAAATCGCCGGGGGGGGGTGGTTCATTTCTTCCTCACATCTCTCTAGTCCGGCGCGAGATTTCTTTTGAACGAGGACTCCGACGATCTCTACCAACGACGTCAATGTGGGGGAGAATGATAGGTCTCCCTTTTCTCCGTGAGATGGATGGACCTTCCTGTTTACCGGAGGGAATCCCGTGGGTGCGTCGGTCGAGGGCGTAGGGGGTAGTAGGAGGGAGGAGTAGACAGCGAACTAGTTAGGTGCGTAGACAAGGCATCTGGGAAAGGGGTCGTACCCTGCACTCTGCGTGGACAAACCTCCGAGGGGAAGAGGGAAAAGGACAATGGAACTGCGCAGAAGCCCGATAGTAGCCACTCCGAGGGGACAAACCTCCACTCTCCACTAGGGGAATACTTGATTGTCCGTCGCCTATCCTCCCTCCTTTGCGTGCCACGGATCCTTCGCGTCATGTGCGAGCCTTTCCTAGATACCTGTGGATGTGAAATGAGACGAAAGTGGCGGCGGCCTGCCAGTAGACCATCAGAGAACTTCCTCGAGACGCCCCGCAGGAGCGAGGACGCGGGTTTCCCCGGGGAGGCGGAGGTGGAGAAGAAGCCGGAGACATTGCTGCCACCGCCGCCGCCCCCACCGTTGCCGTTGCCGTTGCCGTTGCCTCAGTGGCCTATTATCTCTGCCGGTGATGCAGCAGCCACCGCTCTTGCTGCCCCCTCCCCCGCTGCAGCAGCAGGAGCCTTCGGTTTTCCCCGAGCGGCCGACGTTGATCCCTGGCATCGGTAGGGATCCTGCGGGCGAGAGAGACATCGATGGATCGAGGGGGTTTCCTGAGGTGGGATTCCAAGGGCCCAACGAGCCGGCAGCGGTGAGGTAGGCCAGCCTTCCGTAGGGCTCCCTCCAGTGCCCCGGCAGTATGGGTTACCAAACTTCCCTGGTGATGGTTTTCAGAGGCAACAAGCTGCAGCCGCGATTGGTATTGATGCAAGTTTCCTGCTGATGCCGTTTATGGCGGTGTGGTGCTGGAGGAAATTGCAATGCCCTTGGAACGGGCAATGTTCAGCGACTGCAGATCTGGAAGCGATGAGACCTCGTGTGGGATTCTCTCCAGAGGATTGACGTCCTCCAAATGCACTTCTCTCAGCTTCGTCGACCTCCCTAACGGGCAATGATTCAAGGCCAGTTCATGATAGATTGAGAAACCGCAGTTTCAAGCCGTGACCCGATTTCCGGTGGAAGAAGCCTTATTCCCGTGTTCGACAGATCCAAAACAAGAAGTTCCGGCATGAACTGGAAAAACCCTCGGTCGATGTCCCTCAGACGATATTTTCCGTTCAGCAACAGCGTCTTCAGATTATGCATCTGAGCTGGCTCCTCAGGGAGCACACCAATCCTATTGTGCACGAGAGATATCCTCCTTGCCTCCGTCCATCTTTCTGGCGCTGGGACGTGCCTCAACCTCTCCCCGGAGTTCACCAAGAAGACATTCCCATTCTCGTGGCCTTCCCCGCTGGTTATCCACAAGGCCATCTCGGGGACCGTGTCATGGAGCTTCACCCGTCTTCCTTCAATATCGCCGCCTTTTAGCAGGCGGGCACTTTGAGATTGGTGATAGGGATGTCGCCGCGGTTACGAGATCTATCGATAGAGTCGGGATAGCGTCCACTTTGTAAGAGGCCTTCGCCTACCCAGTAGTTAATTAGCTGTATTATATCGATGTCGTGATCCTCTGGGAAGAGGATGCATTAGAGAAGGCACTCCCTGGCAGATGTATCTTCCAATCTGTCGAAACTGAACTTGAGAAGAGTTCGAAACTTTTCATGTCTCCGAGCCTGTTCCCACCCACCACGAGTGGTGGCATCCTCCATGGCCCGGCCTACGGTGATAAGGGTGATCGGCAGGCCACCGCATTTTGCGGCAACGGCTTCAGCGAGGGATCCCACTGGTCTTCTTCCCTACCCAGCTTTTGGCAGATGAGCTTTTGGCGTGTTTTCTGCCAAAAGCTCATCTTCCATCCCAGTGCACCTTGACTTCCCTCTGAGCATCCATCCCAGTGCACACTTTCAGTGACCGTATGGTGATGACTATCTTGCTTCCGTTCCTGAAGGAAGAGAAGGAGAAGGGGACGCCTACAGAGCCGAGGACTAGTTTCTCCCACAAGTCGTCAGTAGAAGGAACTGAAGGAAAATAATGGGAGAGAAACTTGGAGATAATATATTGATTTTGTGGAAAGAATGGTCGAAGGAGGAAGAGACAAGAAAATGGATTTCTCGCACACCGAAACCCCCAGAAAACACGAAATTAGTAACTAAAACTTGTATTAGATAAATAAAGCCCACTAAAGACAGAAAATAAAGCCTACTAAATGACAAAAACTACTTAATAAGGACGAAATAATGTACTCTTTTTGTATTAGATACTAACACTCCCCCTTAATGCAAAAACGTCTCATAATAGACTCTCTAAACTTGAAAACTTTGAGTACTCCACTATGCCTTCCTAAAATCATCTGCCACTTGATCTATTGTTGAGTAAAATTTCATCTCTATGTAATTTGAAGCAACTAAATCTTAGATAAAATGACGTCATATTTCAATATGTTTTGTTCATCCATGAAATTTTGATTCTTTGTCATAGAGATAGTGTCATGTCATCGCAATAAATCAAGTCTTAATTGTTAAGGATTTACATCATGTAAGATTCTTTGTATCTATATTACTTACTATGTAGCTATTGAAGTAGTAATATATTCAACTACTTACGGTGATAATAGAGTAGACTTTTATTTTTTAGAAGCTCATGAGATTGCACTTGAACTAAATCTGGAGATAGAATCACTTGTACTTCTTTTGTCATCAACATAATCTGCTTAATCACTATCTAAATCACCATGAAAATTAAATTAAGAAATATATTGATATAAAATTTCGTAATCGATAGTCCAACGAATATATTGAAGTATTCTCTTTGCTGCTCCAAGATGATGAACTAATGGTGAATGCATAAATCTTGAAATCATAATAATTGAAAATCTAGTCGAGTACTCATAGTTAACTATCATTGCACCATATGTTCTGTATTCATGTTAGTGTTGAAAGAAAAGAAAAAAAAATTATATGTTTGGTTTCCATGAAGATTAAGAATCTCTTTTGTTGTTAGATATTTGTTGTAATAACAATGCTTTGGTTATACTAATGTTCTTCAACCATTTAAACAACTTATCACAGAATGTAAGATACGTCGTGTAGAGTTGTTGGAGACACTTCTGTGCATTTCTTGTGGGTAGGTCAATGTTTCTTATCCCCATTTCTTGTGTAACCCTTATTGAAATATTATTTTATACACTATAATCTTTTAGTTTTATTAAAATGGACAAAGAGGAGATTGTGGTGAGATACCTGGTCATTGGAAGAACAACTTTTTTCATGGAATGTGACTGAAAGGCAACAGCCTGCCAAAATTCTCTAAGATATGCCCCTCTTTTATTCAGCTCAACTTCATCATGTCATAGTCATTAGAGATACGAAAGTTATAATTTTTAATATATTAGATGACAATTGTTGAAGATGATTCATTAACCCACTTTATTGATTTTTAAACTTCAGAAAAATATCAAAAATGAATTTTGGTGATCACTGTCGTAAAGTTCAAACTCTATTTTTCTTACTTTTATACTTATTTTTTGATTTATTGAATGATAGTTTGTGTGATTTTAAGTTTTTCAAACCTTTTTTATTTAAATATAATTCTTTTGGTTTTTCTAAATTTTAATTTGATCAATTAAATCATATGTAATTACTTATGTAAGAATTATTAGATGGAACTATGTTATGTCAAAATCACATTTATCAAGGTGCTGATGTCATCTCAACATCCACACTTAAAATTTTCCATTTTTATAAAATTTTAAAAATATTTCATATTCATCATTTAATCTATAAATCATAAAAACTAGTATTCTTTGAAAAAAATTGAGGTATTATCTACTAGTATATTATATCTCTATGATCAACCTAAAAATTTATCAATATTTTTAAAACCTTTTATCTAATTATAATTTATTTATTTATTATAAATATTTTAAAGTTTTAAATATTAAAATTTTAAATTTGTATAAATATTAAATTTATGCTATTTATTATATAATAATTAGGTCATATTAAAAATTATTCAGAAGTATAAACAATAAGATTTGATAATAGAAAAAATAATAAATCAATTATATGAGTCTTTGTAAAATATGCTTTAAAACAATACGGTACTTAGTTGATGAAATCTGACAAAATATTATATTTCCAGAATAAATGGATGAAAATTGAGACATGCATTGGGCACTTCAAGCTAATAGGATGCTCAAAAATAAAAGATTTGAGAGTAGTTGAAGAGGTGATGGATGATGAGGATTTGAAAATGAATATATCTATTTTTTTCCAATTTAAGGTTTATTTACCTGCAAAGTGCACCGAATGTGAGGATTTAAGTAAACATAAATAGCGTTTCATGGCATGAATGAAAAAGTCAAAATGATTTGGTTAACTTAAATGAAAAGTAATTTATGAAAAAGTCAATGTAGAGGGAGTAATGAACTATGAATGCGTTGCATATTGGAAACAAGTTCCCTTGTTTACTGTTATTGGAACCATATGATGTTCCGTAATTTTATTCTGGATGTAATTTCCTTTCATTAATGATATCCGTCAGTAAGAAATAACGACGATACAAAGTTTGAGATGTTGTTATCGTAGGTAAGGACCCCAGCTGGACAGGCGAACGTTGACCATCAACTGTTGGCTGCTGGAATATTTCAACCGTGCTAATAGTTCAATGTCAACTGTAAATTTCGGTGAAATCGGACGATCGGGAGAGAGAGGAGGAAAGGCGCGGAGAAAGGCACCCGCCCCTTCACCCCTTCATTTCTGCTCCCTCGGTTAGGGTTCGGAGAATTTGAAAATGGTTTTGGAGATCAGGGTGGCGATTTCTTCCTCACGCCTCTCTGGTGCGGCACAAGATTCGCGATTGAGGACGACGCCGGCGAGGGCTTTGGGAGAATGCTAGATCAGTTTCACCGCAGCGAGGCCATCTCCGCCGTCTAGGACGAGAAGGATGCCTACCTTGGAGAGGAGGACGAGGGTTAGGACTAGGACGACCTCTACGACGACGCCAATGTAAGGTTCCTCAATGTAGAAGAAGAAGCCGGAGACGTTGCGGCCACCGCCGCCGCCCCCGCCGTTGCCGTTGCCTCAGAGGTCTCCTTCCCTGCCGGTCATTCATCAGCCCCCGCTCCTGCCTCCCTTCTTTTACCCCCTGCAGCAGCAGCTGCCTTTGGTTTTCCCAGAGTGGCGGACGTCGATCCCTGGCATCGGTTGGGATTCTGCGGTCGAGAGAGGTTGCGATGGATCCTGTTCGTAGGGTATCCATGGTGGTGGACTACAGATGCGGATGTTGAATGGGCAGGTGTAGGAATTAAAGTTCTTTGATGAGAGGGCAAGTAGCAACTGTAAGACCGAAGTTCATCTTCGTGTCATGTTCTCCACATAGAGCTTATTATTCAATGGCTATTTGCTTTACCAATGGAATTGCCTAGATGTTACATAAGATGCATGAAAATCGTAATATTACTACTATGGGGAAAAATAGGAGCTAAACCATGGTCTCACTCTAATCCATTCCACCATTCTTGTTCACCAAGGATCAGTCTGATGTTCTTGGCACTATGGTGCCCAAAGGGTAGCTTCTTCAGCTCTGGACGTTCAGATACTCGGACCATCTCCAAGCAAGGAAACAACAAGGGATGCTTATATATGCACCTCAAATTTGGCAGATGCAGTTGCCCGGAAATGTAGAGCACCCACAATTATGTTGCATTTCTGCATTGGTTGAAAATAAGGGGTAAACTTGGATCGGACGTCTTCATGCTCCCACTCTAATCCATTCCACCATTCTTGTTTACAGAAGATGCGTTGGATGTTCTTGGCAGTAGAGAACCCAAAGGGCAGCTTCTTCAGATCTGGACAGTTGGCTACATCGACTTCCTCCAAGGAAGAAAACAACAAGGGATGCCTTGTTCCTCCAAAAATCGTTATAGTATCACCTACTTGGTCGAAAATAAGGGGTCAACTTGGACCGAACGTCTTCATGGTCCCACTCTAATTGTTTCAACCATTCTTTTTCACCAGAGATGCGTTGGATGTTCTTGGCAGTAGAGAGCCCAAAGGGCAGCTTCTTCAGCTCTGGACAGTTGATTACATGGAATTCCTCCAAGGAAGGGAGCAACAACGGATGCCTACATATGCTCCTCAAATTCGGAAGATCTTGCAACCAAATCCACCTTAATTTAGGGAAGAAAGAATCATTTTCATAATCCACGTTGTCCACCGTCACCTCTTCGACTACTATCACCTCTTCTATTCTCGAACATTCAGTTAGTGATAAGATCTCAATGCAGGGCAGTTGTCTGATCCAGGTTATGTCCTCCAATGCTTCACATTTCTCAATCCACAATCTCCGAAGGTTTTTGAAGATGGCAGCTGTGGTGGGCCCCCTCACAAACACGTTGCCATCTTTCCAAGAGATCGTTGCTCGGGGAAGTTCACCCAATGTCAGTTCCTCCAGCTCCGAGAGCTGGTTCGTGTTGAAGACCAGCTCTTCCAAGTCGGTAGAATCCGAAATCTCAAGCCTTCTCAGGGCTTTCATGAATCCCAAATCAACAGACGAGAGTTGAACCTGTTGAAGCCGTAGAAATCTGATCGACGCAGACAGTCTCTGAGAGTTCAGTACAGCCTGCATGTCTTCATGCGTCATGCCTGTTATACAAATACCGAGCTCCGTCAGGTTCCACATGCCGTCCTCCAAGTCTTTCAGACAGAGTTGTCTCCCCTCATGGTCAATCACACCATCGCTACCACCGCCCTCCCCTCCTGCTCTAAACTCATAGTTACTCCCATAAATGTTCAACGACTGCAGCCTTTCAAGCGATGAGACCGCCTCGCGTGGGATACTCTTAAGAGTCCAGGTTCCCTCCAAACGCAGATGTCTCAGCTTCGTCAAATTCCTGACCTCCATGGGTAATGATTCCAGGGGAGTCCTTGATAGATTGAGATACCGCAGTTCTACCAGTGACCCGATTTCCGGGGGGAGAACCCTTATTCCCGTCCACGACAGATTTAAAACACGAAGGCTCGGCATGAACTGGAAAAACCCACCGGGGATTTCCTCCAGATGAGGTATGTTGTAATTCAGCAACAGCGTCTGCAGATTGGGGCAACGAGGCTCCTCAGGGAGCAGGCGTATCTCATTACACATCAGAGATATCCTTCTCGCCTCCGTCCATCTTTCCGGCGTCGGCACGTGCCTCAACTGCTCCCCGGAGTTCACCAAGAAGACATTCCCTCTCTCGTCGCCTACGCCGCTGGTTATCCACAACGCCATCTCGCGGACCGTGTCATGGAGCTTCACGTCTCTTCCTTTGTCCTCCCCGTCTTCTAGCAGACAGGCAGCCTTGAGAGTGGTGATGACAACGAGGCCGCGGTTACGAGCTCTGTCAATGGAGTCGGGATAGCATCCCCTATCTAAGAGCCCTTCACCCACCCAGTAATCAATGAGCTCGCTTATAAGGATGCTGTCATCCTCTTGGAAGAGGGCGCAGTAGAGAAGGCACTCCTTGGCGGATGTATCTTTCAGTCTGTCGAAACTGAACTTGAGAAGAATTAGAACCTCTTTCATGTCTCCGAGCTCCACGGGTATGCCCTTCAGCGCCATGAGAGCCTCTTTCCACTCGCCATGGGTGGTGGCATCCGCCATGGCCCGGCCTACGGTGATGAGGGTGATCGGAAGGCCTCCGCATTTTTGACAAACGGCTTCTGCGAGAGACCTTATAGAGCGATCATTCCACTGGTCTTCTTCCCTGCCCAGCTTTTGGCAGAAGAGCGTCCAAGAGCTCTTTCGATTTAAGAGGGGCACCTTAACTTTCCTCTTAGCGTCCATATCGTTGCACACTGTCACTGAGCGTGTGGTAAAGACTACCTTGCTTCCGTTCCTGAAAAAAGAGGAGGAGAAGGGGACGCCTATAGAACCGAGGTCTAGTTTCTCCCACACGTCGTCCAGCAGCAGAAGGAACTTCTTCTGGGAGAGGCCCATCAGCAGGGTCCTGGCCCGGTTCTCGCCGTGGAGAGGGCAGCCCAACTGGGTGGCAATTTGCTCTTGAACCTTCAGGATATCAGGTTCCTTGGAGACGGTTACCCAAATCACCAGATCGAAACGGCCGGATCCCCTCGGGAGGAACTCGTTGTTGATCGCCTTCAAGAGGGTCGTCTTCCCTATTCCTCCCAAGCCGTAGATCCCGATGACTGGAGCTTCATTGTCTTCCAGGAGGCTGCGGATCTCCGACAACGTCTTCTCCGCGCCCACGTTGTCGCAGAGTGAAGAGCTTGGCTGCGGAACCACCGCGGGCGGCCGCGCCGGGATGAGTTGGTCGAGGAGATTGTTCTTTTCGGTCTTCAGCCTCTGGACTTCTTTCAGGCACTCGGCAGCTTCACAACCGAGCCGATAAGAGGATCGTAAAGAGGAGCCCTCAGGGGAGGCCCCCCTCTGCTGGAAGGAAACCCGGAAATCGGCCTCCCTGGACTCGATCTCCTGCACCTTCCTGAGCCAATTCTTGGCCTGGGAGGTCGGCCCCATGTCCTCAAGCTCCCCTTGTTTGATATGCTCTTCTAGATCTTCTCTTAGACAGATCAGATCTGTCATCTCCCTGCCCAGCTCCTCCGCTCTGGAGTCCAGCAGAATGAGAGTGACGATTCCACCGGCGGCCAGATTCCACACCCAGGAGACGGCTTCCCCCGTGCTGCTCTGCAGGAAATTTTGCACACCCTGCGATAAGGGATCCCAGAAGAATCCCAGACAAACAAGGAAGGGATTCATGCCGATAATCCCTACGCAGTGAGGAAGGAAGGGATCGGGGAGAGAGAGAGAGAGAGAGCAACGGCTGCCTTCCTGCCGAGGGATAACAGGCGAGGGGGAATTACATAGGCAGTATACACCAGCCATTTCTTAGCTTCACCTCGAAGCTTGTCGGGTAGAGGCGCACTGCGCACCTAACAGCTGGAAAGATAAGATGGATGAGGAGTCGTGGAGCTCAGAAGATGTAATTTTGTTTTCAATCCCTGATGGATGTATCTTTCAATCTTTCAAAACTGAACTTGAGAAGAGTTAGAACCTCTTCCATGTCTCCGAGCTCTGCGGGTATGCTCTTCAGCGCCATGAGAGCCTCTTTCCACGCGCCAGGGGTGGTGGCATCCGCCATGGCCCGGCCTACGGTGATGAGAGTCATCGGCAGGCCTCCGCATTTTTTATAAACGGCTTCTGCGAGAGTTTTCAAAAATAGATCCCACTGGTCTTCTTCCCTTCCCAGCTTTTGGCAGAAGAGCTTCCAAGAGCTCTCTGAATTCAACAAGGCCACCTTAACTTTCCGCTGAGCGTCCATCCTGCTGCAAACTTTTTGTAGCAGGATGGACGACAGGAAATAAAGCCTACTAAATGACAAAAACTACTTAATAAGGACGAAATAATGTACTCTTTTTGTATTAGATACTAACACTCCCCCTTAATGCAAAAACGTCTCATAATAGACTCTCTAAGCTTGAAAAACTTTGAGTACTCCACTATGCCTTCATAAAATCATCTGCCACTTGATCTATTGTTGAGTAAAATTTCATCTCTATGTAATTTGAAGCAACTAAATCTTAGATAAAATGACGTCGTATTTCAATATGTTTTGTTCATCCATGAAATTTTGATTCTTTGTCATAGAGATAGTTGTCATGTTGTCACAATAAATTAAGTTTTGATTTTTAAGGATTTACATCATGTAAGATTCTCCGCATCTATATTACTTACTATGTAGCTATTGAAGTAGTAATATATTCAACTATTGAAGGTGATAATAGAGTAGATTTTTATTTTTTAGAAGCTCATGAGATTGCACTTGAACTAAATCTGCAAACAGAATCATTTGTACTTTTTTTGTCATCAACATGATCTGCCCAATCACTATCTAAATCACCATGCAAATTAAATTAAGAAATATGTTGATATAAATTCTATAATTGATAGTCCTATGAATATATTGAAATATTCTCTTTGCTGCTCCAAGATGATGAACTAATGGTGAATGCATAAATCTTGAAATCACAAAAACTGAAAATCTAGTCGAGTATTCATAGTTCTATCATTGCACCATATGTTATGTATTCATGTTAGTGTTGAAAGAAAAGAAAAGAAAAATTATATGTTTGGTTTCCATGAAGATTAAGAATCTCTTTTGTTGTTAGATATTTGTTGTAATAACAATGCTTTGGTTATGCTAATGTTCTTCAACCATTAAACAACCTATCACGGAATGTGAGATACGTCGTGTAGAGTTGCTAGAGACACTTCTATGCATTGGTGTTGATCTGCAGCCTTATGGGTGGATTGCCATGGTGGAGTTGTCAATGCATTTACTAGTGTCACAGAGAGAGCTCACCTTGTCATATCTTCTCGAGTTTTCGTTGTCTCATTATCTATAATCCTTAGTCATGTGGAGTTTGAACATGAGGAACTTACAATTCCAAAGTTGTTTATCAATGGGTAGGTGAAAGTTTCTTATCCTCATTTCTTGTGTAACCTTTACTGAAATATTTTTTTATACACTATAATCTTTTAGTTTTATTAAAATGGGCGGAGAAGAGATTGTGGTGAGATACGTGGTCATTGGAAGGACAACTTTTTTCATGGAATGTGGCTGAAAGCAACAGCCCGCCAAAATTCTCTAAGACATGCCCCACTTTTATGCAACTTAACTTCGTCATGTCACAGTCGTTGGAGATACAAAAGTTATAATTTTTACAATATTAGATGACAATTGTCGAAGATGATTCATTGACCCACTTCATTAATTTTTTAAACTTCACAAAAATATCTAAATTAATTTTAGTGATCATTGTCATAAAGTTCAAACTCTATTATTTTTACTTTATACTTATTTTTTTGATTTATTGAATAATAATTTGTGTGATTTCAAGTCTTTCAAACCTTTTTCATTTAAAGACAATTCCTTTGGTTTTTCTAAATTTTAATTTGATCAATTAAATCATATGTAATTACTTATGTAAGAATTATTAGATGGAATTATGTTATGTCAAAATCACATTTATCAAGGTGCTGATGTCATCTCAACATCCACACTTAAAATTTTCTATTTTTATAAAATTGTAAATATATTTGTATTCATCATTTAGTCTATAAATCATCAAAAACAAGTATTTTTTGAAAAAAATTGAAGTACTATCAGATAGTATATTACATCTCTGTGATCAACTTAAAAAATTATCAATATTTAAAAACCCTTTTTATCTAACTATAATTTATTTATTTATTATAACATATTTTAAATTTTCAAATATTAATATTATAAAATTTTAAAAATATTAAATTTATGGTATTTATTATACAATAATTAGGTCATATTAAAAATTATTCAAAAGTACAAACAATGGGATTCGATAATAGAAAAATTAATAAATCAATTATATGAGTCTTTGTAAAATATGTTTTAAGACAATATGGTACTCAATTGATCAAATTCTGACCAAATATTATACTTACAGAATAAATGGATGAAAATAAGGATGTGAAGTATAGACACCTCAAATGAATTGAGACATGCATTGGGCACTACGTATTTCGGAAGTTTTAAGCTTTGACAGTTTAAATGGACATTCTACTTGATTATGGGCTGTTTACAGAACCCCTCTCAGATAGATGGTTTTTAACATCAGTGACATTTGTTCTGGTCCACCTGCTTTCTCCTTTCTTTCACTTCGGGCAACTTCCTGCCTGTCTATCTAATTATCATTCCTTCATTATTTAATAATCCCATTTTCATTGCAAATGTACTTGGGTCTTTTTGTGCTAAGTGCATCTTAGTGTATATTTTTGCCGTCGCCGCTAATCATGCAGTGAGTAGTTTGTCATTTATAGTGCGTGATACTTAATTACAAGGATTTTTGGACATTTCTACAATCATATTGTCTACTTCTATTATCGTCATAGATGAATTAATTGACTTACTGCCCTCGCCACTGATCCGATTGATGGATGTGCTCATTGCCAGCTCTTTGTTTGGATTCACCAACGGTTCAACAACATCTGCACTTGTTGATTCATCCCAGGAATTTGGATTCCAGATGTCTGAAGGTCATGGTCTTCATTTCAGTGATGAGAATTCGATTGGTAGAACTGTACCTGGTGGAACACATGCAGAATCTGTTCAAACTACCAATGGATTTCCATCATCCAGAACTCTCTCTGGGGTAGACGCCTCTGCCTCCGATCCGGTACTAGTGCATTCTATTGATCGACGTGTCGCTGGCATGGTGGGTGCTATCCAACACACAGTTGGTATCAACGTGGCCACATCAGATACATATGCTGGTTATGATATGCCGTCAAATGAAAGGGCAACAGAAAGAACCACCTTCGTTAGACAGGGGAACCTGCCAACTAATTCTCAGGTTCTTGATGCACCTCAACCTTTATCAAATTCGCAGTTTGGCTCATCAAGTAGTTGGGCCTCTTCAAACTATGGCAGCAGGCCACAAGTCATTGCTCCTCAGAAAGGTAAAGGAAGGATTAAGGCAATTCATTCTCTGTCCTAGACCAGCATATGCATAATGACTTTTTCTGAGTATTTATAGCTTTTCCTCCACATGCACTTTCTTTTTCTCTATCATAGTTTCTTTGAGATTTTTTAGCTTGGGTCACAAATTATAGGGTGACTTGTGATGAATTTTTCTTCATTATCCACTTCACATTCATGTATCTTCAGTAGATTCTTAAATTGCGAATAGCATTACGAATCTGGTTGCAAATTCTTTTCAGTGAGATCTTGTGACAAGTTTCCAATACTTGACAAGGTCATTATTGGAGTTACTATCATTACTTAACTTTGACATTTGTCTGGAGATTCTAACTGGCACGTCTTGAAAGAACTCTCACTCAGGAAATTTTTAACATTAGTATATTTAGCGCTAGCGATCTGTCACTGCCCTACGGTTATTTTGCATCTCCTATACTCATAGACTGGGGGAAATTGCATCTCATGACTTAACCAGGACTTACGTATCATTTGAAGGCTCTCACAATCAGTTCCTTTTGTTGATAATGAGGGAAACAGCCATCAGTACTTAGTGCACGATTTTATTTGATGATATTTTTATTCTGACGTGTTTTTGTGTTTCCAATTTTTGTAGTATCTGATGATGAATACATGCTGCATTGCAAACACATCTTTAATTGCCTTATTTTCAAGTATTAATTCGTTTTATTCTTGAATATTTACTTGGACTTGCTAAGGAGTTTATTTCTCTTTTCATGTTTTCGGTTCTCAATTTTAAATATTTAGTGTCAGGTTTAATCAGGCCTCTGGTCTGCTTGGGCATCCTGACTATCGTCTCTGGAATAAAAAATACAGTGTGTGCGTCTGGTGTTCTTTTCTGGTGATCTGTTTGAATTTCAACCTGGAATTTTTGCGACCATATCTAGGCTTGTTTTGCTTTGTTGTGATAATGGTTATTCTCATCGGTCTGGAAGTTCGCGTGATGATTATTTTTATTAATTGGGTATTGGGTTTTCTTTGGCCAGCTGCTCCTAGTAAGGAGTGGAAACCAAAATCAGCAATCCAAGTCCCTGGTCAAGTTGCTGTAACAACTGGTGTGGCTGCTGATGCGCCTGGTTCGTTTGAAACAAATTCTTGGTCTGAACCTGGTGTTCCTGAAGAAGCCGCCTCCAAGATTGAGTTGAAGTTGGAAGATCTACACTTATCAGATGGTGAACATGTTATCATTCCAAACCATCTGCAGGTCCCAGAAGCTGAAAGAAGT